AATCTCAAGTGTACAGCTTGATGAATTCTCACAACAGTGAACACATCCAGTAACCAGCACCCAGATCAAGAAATAGAACATTCCAGCATCCCAGAAGCCCCCTTTATGCCCTGTTCTATTCATTCTCCCACAAAGGATAACCACTATCCTGGCTTCTAACAGGCTAGATTAGTTTTGCCTGGTTTTGAACTTGTTATAAATGGAAGTATACATTTTGTGTTCTGGAGTCTGGCTTCTTTCACTCAGTGTTATGTTTGTGAGATAGATCTTGTTCATGCATGTGGTAATTGTTTGTTCATTCTCACCACCGAATATTCCATTATGCGAATACACCACAATTTAATTTTCTATTGCTGGTAGGCATTTGGGTATGTTCCAGGTTGGGGGCTATTATGTATGAGTAGCGCTGCTGTGAACATTCTCATACTGCGCTGGTCTTTCTATGAACACACAATCACATTTCTGCTAGGTATATACCAAGGATCGAAATTGCTGGGTCATAAGATACGCATATAATTAACTTTAGAAGATACTACCAGTTTCAAAGTAGGTGCATTAAGGAGGGAAAGGTCAGTTTTGTCTTTAAATCAGAGTACTCAGTTCCCATGAGCATAAGAAGACCTGTTGTTTTCTGTTAATTATGGAAACAAATTTAATGAAGAAAAGTTAGTGAAATATTTCTATTTAAAATAACTTTTACAAACTCCATCTGTTTTAATGATCTTTTTACTATGTAATAAAGCGTATCTTTACTTTTAGTATTTGAGGAAAACTTTTAAGAACAAGGAAGAGTAATGGGCAAAGTTGGGCAATATCTTTGGCTTCACTTCCAAGGATTTTGCAAACTCAGGAGAGTTACTCTTTGACTCCCTTTGGGTTGTGTTCAAATTAAGAGTTCACATTTCTGGAATTCCTTTGGCCCTCCATGGAGCTGGGATAAGGGAAAGTGACCACCTGGAATGAATTCAGAATGCCCACACTCTGCCTACCCAAACCCTACCCCTGTTATTGTGAGTAAACCATCCAGAGGACTGCAGGAATAGACCTGTCGTGATCACTCACCATTTTCATGTCTTAGGAACATTTTTCCTTTCTACTTCCATTTTCCAAGTCGTCTAATAACCAAGAAAATTTTTACCTTGAGGTCGCAAAAATGACAGCTAGGTATTAATATATCATTTTGAATTCCTGGCTCTCACATTAAAAACAAAACCCCTCAAAACCCTGTATTCTATTTCTTTTACAATTTCACATAGCAATAGAAAGTAATGAAAAATAAAACCCGTGTCTGGGACTCCTGTGTGTGTGTGTGTGGTTTTTTTTTGTTGTTGTTGTTGTTGTTGTTTTTAAAGACAGGGTCTGTCTTTGTGCCCCAGACTGGAGTGCAGTAGCTCAGATCACAGCTCACTGCAACCTTGTAATGCTGGATTCAAGTAATCCTCCCACCTCACCCCCGTGCACTCCACCCTCCTCCTCCAAGTAGCTGGGACTACAGGCACATAACATCATGCCCAGCTAATTTTTAAAATTTTTTGTAGAGATGGGGTCTCACTATATTGCCTAGTCTGGTCTTGAACTCCTGGCTTCAAGGGATCCTCTTGCCTCAGCCTCCCAAAGCGCTGGGATTACAGGCATGAGCCGCCACATCCAGCCTGTCTGGGACTCTTTAATTACTCCGACATTATATCTTAAAATAAATGGTTAGAAAAAACCCAAACCTTCATTTTTTTTCTACACATAGGAATTAGGATTCTTAGACTATCTTGAACAAAAAGGTGCTATGAATAAATGTGTTTAATATCTTTGCTAAAAGCTAGTCCTGTTTTTAATTCAAGACCTAGATTCAGGCCTCAGCACTTCAGTTTTTTACCTGTGATATATATTCTACCTTTTGAGCTGTAATTTTTTTAATCTGTAAAATGTGGTTTCAGATCCCCACCCTGCCTACCACATATGGTTGTTGTGAGGATTGAATGTAATAATTCATGTGAAATTGTAAACTATAAAGGTACTAAGCCTTTGAGAGCTGGGCTTAGCAGGCCCTGCATTTTAAGAAAGACGATCACTGTCCACTGACCTAGAGCATAGTGGAAATTCACTCTGTACCTTGAGATCTTGTGCACACACATGAGCCTGAACTTTTAACCTTGCGCCAGATGTGGCTGATCAGTTAAGTCAGGAGTTACTTGTCTGGTTCTACTGACCTCTCACTAAAGTTCTTAAAACTCCTCCCCACCCCCTACCCCTGCCACCTGGGGAAGGAGGGGGGCAAAAAATTGTTTGCTTTGGCCATAGCCCCAAACTATGACCGAACAGATCATCTTTCACTTCTGGGGGAGTTAGAGGGTTGTATAAAAAAGGTAGCTTACAGAATCACCACTGCTCATGTCTATTAATAAAACTTCTTTCTTTTAAAATTTTCTTTTGCCCATCTACCTTTATTAGGTATAGAGACTATACAAATACTTATAAGCCATACAAATATCTACATAAAAATATTCTTACTATAAGGGTAATAAACGAGTAAAACAGGGAACAAAACACAGCCTCTTGAACCCTTCCCAGCATATATTCTTTATGTATTCACCTTTCTTTTAACAGACATGAGAAGGAAGTGTCCAATTTGGCCCTTTGTGGGTGTTGGCTGGAGCAGGGTGGATCTGGAATAGTGCGTGCTTCTTTCATCCGTCACCTCTTGGGGGCGCACCTTCCAAGACAGAACAGATATTGTATCAATTGGAATATCTCTGCCAGAAATGAAATAAGAACTTGACTTCATTCATCAAGATCTGAAGCCATTACATGAATTATGTTAATTTTTAATATAAATGTACTCTTGGTACTGAACAGTTTTTAAAAATCAAATTGTATAAAAATAGAGAATATATTCTGTGAGCGTGAGGTATGTGGTAATGACATTGACCCAGCCTCTAAAAGCATTATAACATAGTGAACTAAGTGGTTTCTCAGAGAATTGGGAACTCAGAGTTGTAGGAATGGAAGTCTATAGGTTCATCATCCTTTTTCCAAAGTGAGATGTATTTCAGGATTCAGAACCCCATAATCAAATGCACTATTTGAGATCTGCTTCAAAATGAATGAATGGTCATACTAAGTGGTTTAATAAGGACTATAAATACATAATACATATCAGTTCAAGTTAGGATTTACCAGCAAACAAGTTTAGGTCATGTCGTATTTTGCTAACAAATGTGTGATGCATAGCTTTTGATTTCAGAACCTTTTGAATGTTGTAGTTACATACAGGGATTGTTGATCTGCATTATGTTCAGGTGTTAGCTCCTGACAGGAGTGTTTTTTTGTATGTGTAAAGCAACCAGATAGCGAATTCTTATGAGACAATAGAGTTAGAGCATCAGATCTGGAGCCACACTGCCTGGGTTCAAATTCCAGCCTTGCCAAGTGATTTGAGGTGAGCTAACCTCCCAGGGTCTTAGCTTTCCATCTTTAGAGCTACAGTAATTTTTAAATGAAGATTAAATAAGATATGCCCATGAGGTACAATATTTGCATTGCACTAGGAATAGGCACTCAATAAATATGCTTCAGTTACCTCATCTATTTAGAGATAATAGTGCCTGTCACAGAGGTGTTTTATAAGACTTTAATAAGCAAACAGATATAATGTGCTTAGAATAGTGTCTGCCCCACAGTAACAATTCAATAAATATTAGCCAACATCATTATCATTATGGACATTACTAGAAATCTGTAATGAAAACTTTCCTATCAGGAGAATCATTTTTAGGAAAGAAAGTAACAAAGAACATCTGTTGAATGAATGAGTGGCACTTTGGAGAATGATAGAGGGCACCATGATGATTTGTGATTATAATACTCCTGACTATAATTCCATCCCATTCCATCCCAGTCCTTCCCAAGTTATTTTGCCTCCCTCCCCTCTGCACTCTCCCCCCATAATCCCCTCCACCCCCAGCAGCTTAATCTTCCTTCACTTGCACTCTGTTTGGATGTACAGTGCTTGAAGAACTTGGCACTTGTCTTCCCCACCACAACCATGCAGGTGTGTTAGGCTGTCTGGGAAGCTGTCCCAGATGCTGACAAACCCTTGGCAGAAGGGTAGAAAGGAAAAAGGAAATTTTGGCTGACATCTCCAGGTCTGACTCCTTACTCCTCTGGAGAGTTCCAGTGGTATCTTTAAAGCTTTAAAGATAAATGATGAGGCTGTGGCTGCTTTTTTGTGCCTCTGACAGATACATAACTTCGATTCTCATTTTTTCGTCTGTTGTATGTTAATCTCTTGTGATTGCTCAGTAATGATACAGTTAGGTGAAGCCATAAGTCTGTTTTTAAATAGAGCAATGTATGGAGGAGTAGGTATGAGCTAGGCAGGGACCCGTGGAAGAATGTGTGTGCTTGTGTGCTGTAGTTTGGCCTAATGTCTTGGCACAGCTGTCGTATTTCCTGGCATGTAAGAACTGGGTCTTCTCTTAAGGCCACAACATATTTGGCAAGCCCTATTATGTTACTCTCCCGAGGGGGTGATCGAGTAACGAAGGTGATAGCTAATATTGTAGGTACTGGCTGGACCAGGGACATGAAAGAAAATGGAAAGAATCCTTTTTAAAGAGCTTTATTGCATTAAATTTTAGTGTCTGTAAACAATTACAGCATTCAGGGAGTACAGGATTTAAATGAGAAACACAACTTTGTCAGATTATACCAATTGGATAAAATGGCATGGGCTCCGGAAATCTATAATTAAATGTATTTTTGAAAATGAAAAATGTAGTGTAACATCTGGTTTACTTCACTACGGAAGTGCCTGCATATTGCTTATGTAAGTGTGATTTACTTTGGCTGTTATTCTCGCTGTAAAATTACTGTATTTTAATTAAATTTTTTCTACTTGATTCTATTTGTGTTGTAAACAACAGATTATTCACAGACATGCTCGTATAGAAAATGATGGTCTTACTTAGAAAACTTAATGTTTGTTCATTTTCTTTTCATTACAGCGGATATTCAACTCCTTTGTTTACACTGAGAAAATCTCAAATGGAGAAAGTGAAGTGCAGCAGGTAAGAGGCTGTTGAATACTTGACATTCTCTGTCTTTGTCTTGCTTTTAGATGTGGCTTCATGACTCTTTGCAAGCAGTCTCCACTTGAGGCTTCCTGTTCATCTCTGTATGTAATTTCATATACATCTTACGCAAGTGGTGACAACTTCACACTTCAAGTTCTTAGAAGCAGTTGGCATAATGGTTATGTGGATGGTTTTTTGCTATTCATGTTATGCTTTAGAAATATTTAATTCCTTTTTGTTTTAAAAATCCCTAAACTACTCAAATCTAAAAATACCAGAAATTGTTTCATCTGATATAGAAAATAAGTGCCCAGGCTTTAGAATCAGACAAACCCCATACCAAATTCTGGTTTTCCTTCTTACTCTGTGGTCCCAGTAAGCAATTTGGCCTTTTTGAGTTGCAGTTTCTCAGTCTTAAATAACGGGAACATAATATCTGCCTTATGGGGTTGTGAGAATTAAATGAAATGATGTCAAATTAACTGAGAATAAAATGAAATCGTCTATGTGGAAAGTTCTGGCATAGAAGTAGTTCATTGGATGTTGGATTCTTCTGCTCTTTCCTTTTTCTTTCCTCTTATATTCTTCCTTTCCTCCTTTTATTTATTTATTTTATTTTATTTTATTTATTTATTTTTTTGAGACAGAGTCTCACTCTGCTGCTCAGGCTGGAGTGCTGTGACATCAGCCTAGCTCACAGCAACCTCAAACTCCTGGAATCAAGCAATCCTTCTGCCTCAGCCTCCCTAGTAGCTGGGACTACAGGCATGTGCCACCATGTCTGGCTAATTTTTTCTATATATTCTTAGTTGTCCAGATAATTTCTTTCTATTTTTAGTAGAGACGGGATCTCGCTCTTGCTCAGGCTGGTCTCGAACTCCTGAGCTCAAACGATCTGCCTGTCTCAGCCTCCCAGAGTGCTAGGATTACAGGCGTGAGCCACCACGCCCGGCCTTTCCTTTCCTTCTTTCATGCTCTTTGGAGTCAAGAAGTTTTGAGGCCAGATTCTATTTACTTTATTTATAGCTGGCTTCAGATGGACTGCCTGCTAAATGAAAACGTAGTGTTGGTGAACTTGGTCATAAATAATTGATCTGTGCTTTAAGAGAAGGGGTGGTAAAGAAGTGTTGGTTTTAATTTCAGCTAATCCACCAACTTCATTACAGTCTGTGACCATCTACTAGTAACTGGAAGCGAGGTTTGAAACTTAAGTAAAAAACAGAACCAAGGTAAAACCCAGACTATAGCAGAGCGCTTCCATAGAATCAAAAGATAACTATAGGTGAAATGCATAATAATTTAAACTCTGAGGTCTTGACATTGTACTCATGGAGAACAGCTTGACTTAATCTAAACTTCAAAAGTATTATACAAGAAGAAAAAGATTTGTTACAGTGAAGTTATTTATAGGGTAGTTATTTATTTATAATAAATTACTGCGGTTTAATCTTGAAGTTCAGCATTTCCTCTTTATGGACATTGACTTTTTTTTGTTGGTTTCTGCAGTTTAAATTTAGAGGATGTAAATAGTTGTATATATACACTTTTTCTTAGCTTTAGATATTTTTAAACGCTAATGGCCCAAAATTGTAGTGAATATGATGTGGTTTGCTGTACCAAGTCTTATCCTCATAATGCCTGTCTTATTTTTATCCCAGCAAACTAGAAAGTTCTTTAGGGTCATGAAATTTAAAAGAAGTTTTATGGGAGAAGATTTCTAGACAAAGCATGGCTAAGGAAACTTTTGGGGAGAGCAAAGGCCATTTGATAACATTTTAACGAAACTGATCCAGGGATATCAGTTTTGCTGCTTTTCTTGAAGCAACAGGTACAAGTTCTTACTTTGGCTGTTATGGAACATGAAAGTTGTTTTGTTTTCTTGCACTGATGTCATTATTTATCTAGCTATGAACAAGTTTGGAAGCCTTTAATAATAATTTGTTAAAGTTACAGCAGCTGATGAGCACTTACTGGTGCTAGGCAATTTCACATATATGTTATTGATTTTTGCTAAATAACCTCGAAGGAAAAATATTATCCTATTACAGATGAGGAAACTGAGGATCCAAGAGATAAAATAAGTTACCTGTAATTTATGACTATTAAGTAGGAGAGCTAGTTTTTGAAATGTTTGGTACAAAGTTATATTATCTCTTTTTAATTTATTGTAAATTGATTTAAATTTATTTTAGAATTTTAAACATTTATTTATTTGTTAAAAATGTATATATTCATCCTAAACAGGAGTCTCTACTAAACTCTGCCTTGATCTGCATAGTTCAAGTACAAGAGGGTTACCACGTAGTCTGTTCTGTGTGTCTTCTCACTGATTGTCAAAACGTTCTTTCTTAAACCAGAACATACTTACTTTTAACTTCTCTCCAATCTCTTCAGTCTACCCTCTGGAAGAACCCTGAACAAATAGACCTTATGTCTCTTTTCTATCTTGTATGTGGAGATAATTGTGTCACTGTCTTAATTATTTAGCCTAAATTTTAATAGACTCAGGTCCTAAATAATTTCTTGTTCTATGACATGATTTCCAGATCTTTTCAGTACTGTGGTCACTAAAACAACAACACTAATAAGAGCTCGTATTTGCATATTTACCAAAAAATTTGCTATCGCTTCATCGTGATGGTAACCTTGTGGGTTGAATTCAATAGTGGGTATCCCCCCCATTCTATAGTGAGAACACAGAGACCCCTGATATCTTCTTAACTTGATTAATAACTGCCCAGAAACTCTGGACCCTGTGATTCTGGACAGTTCCCAGGGTGAAATCTTTAGGGACATATGTACCTCTAATGTTTCTGTAAAATGTCTGCAATCACAATCACTCACACTGCTTATCTCGTTCGAATTTCAGAACAACTCCATGAGGTAGGTGGCAGTATTATTACTGGCAATATTCAGAAAGGCCAGGGATCCCAGACAGTTTGCAAAACACCCCAGCTAGTAGGTAATTTGTTTATACTCAAATTAATTTTTAGTTTGCCTATTTTTTTATATAAATTTTAAGCATATGTTTATACCCACGTATCCTGCTAGTTTCATTCAGTGTCACATGGCTTAAAAGCACCCATGTTGATATCTGTAGGTAAGGTTCATTTATTTTCAATTCTGTATTATTCCATTATATGCAATTTATATGTCCATTTTATAGTTGATGATGTTTGGGTTGCTTCTAGTGTTTTGATTTTTGTTCATATCTCCGTAAACCCCTACGTAGTTCAAATGGAATAATTTTTTTAATTGCAGGAACTTTATTGCTGCTGGCCCCCTGCCAATTAAATGCTGGTAGAACTGTGTGTTGTGTGTGTATCTCCACACACATTTCCAAATGCCCTAAATGGTGGTGGGGGAGGGGAGCTTTGTTCGGCTCAGGTGGAGAATCCATCTGTAGAGTAGAAGTCCTGGGTATCAGAGTGTTCAATATGACTGGTCAATGTCAAATGGGCTCCACAGTGGTTGTCATGGGTCACACTCCCAAGAAAGTATATTAGAAATTTGCTGATCCCTCCTCAATAGTTGATGCTATCTGATTTTTAATCGTTTGCCAATTTGGGATATCTGAAATTGAATCTAATGAGTTCATTTGTTTTATTCCGATTACTAATGAGCTTGAAAGGCTTTTTTTTCTTTTTTTGCATGTTTAGAGAAAATTTTTTTGTGTTTTTTTGTTGTATTAAATATTAATGCTCTTCATTCTTTTTTTTTTAAGTTTAGAAATTTAAAAATGCTGCATATGTTCTAGATCAGTGCTGTCCAGAGAGAACTTTCTGTGATGATGAAGATGTTCTATATCCGTGCTGTCTGATGAGCAGCTACTAGTCACATGTGACTACTGAGTACCTGAAATGTATCTAGAGCTACTACTGATAATTAAATTTTAAATTTTATTTAATTTTAATTAAAATAGCCACGTATGGCTGGTAGTTGCCATATTAGATTGCCTTACAGATTTATGTTTCATAAATATGTTCTCCCAGTTTTTCATTTGTCTTTTCACTTCATATTATCTTTTAAAGAATTTTAAAGTTTTAATTTTAATTGAGTCAGTTTTTAAAATCAATCTTTTCCTTTTTGGTTTTTGGCATTTGTGTTCTGTGAAAAAAATTCTTATCCACCCCTAAAGACATAAATGTTTTCTCCTTTATTATCTTGTAAAATATTTGACTCTCTCATTCAAGACTTTTATCCGCCTGGAGTTGATTTGGGTGTTGGATATGAAGTAGATATCCAATTTCATTTTTCCTCCGTATGTGTTTCCAAATGTCCTATCACTATGTATTGAAAATCTGTCCTTTTGTCATTTGTTTTCAATCATTAGTTGAGTTTTCCTGTATGCGTGAATTTCATTTGGTTCCACTGGTCTATTTAATCCATCACTGTGCGAGTATCACGTTATCTTAGTGATGAGTTTTACAAGTTTTGGTATTTAGTGGGGTGACACTGCCCTCTCCATTTATGTTTCTTGATTTTCGATCTTGGCCAAGCCCTGAGGTTATTTCCTCTCCCTAGTGCTCTGTGCTGTCCTCCAAGTGGAAGCTCAAAGTCACCAGATTGTGCCACATTCTCAGAAGGAAAGCAGGGTTTGGGCTGGCTTACTTCCCAGATCTCCTGCATTCACATCATTTGAGGGCTCAGGGCTCCTAACAGTGACTTCTTTTTTTTTTTTTTTTGGAACAAATTCCCCCTGGGTTGTTTTGGCTAGAGTGAGTGCTGTGGGCGTCAGCCTGGCTACAGCAACCTCAAACTCCTGGGCTCAAGCGATCCCTCTGTCTCAGCCTCCCGAGTAGCTGGGACTGCAGGCATGCGCCACCATTCCCGGCTAATTTTTTCTATATATTTTTAGTTGTCCGATTAATTTCTTTCTATTTTTAGTAGAGACGAGGTCTCGCTCTTGCTCAGGCTGGTCTCGAACTCCTGAGCTCAAACGATCCGCCCGCCTCGGCCTCCCAGAGAGCTGGGATTACAGGCGTGAGCCACCA